CCGGGCGCGGCCTCGGCGCCTTTCCCCGCACCCTGCGACGGAAACAGGGTAATCTGTAGCTCAGATTCGGTCCTCCGGACGCCCCGCCCTTAAAGGGGCAGGCACCGGCCCGCCTCTTGTTAAAGGACTCCGGCCCCCCTCTGTTCCCTCCCCTTTAAGGTCGGGCCACGGTCACGTTTCAACGCAAACAACCGCCAGCCACCCCAGCTGCAGCTACGGGGAAGCGTCCGTTTAGTCCTATCTTTTTAAAAATACTAGTGACGACACAAGGGATGGGCGGGCTCATTCCAGAGAGCGGAACTCATTGGTTCAAAGAGAGCTGCCGCTCAACACTAGATGGGCGCTTATAGGTTTTCCCGTGGAAGGAGGTGGGATCCTTTGGGCCTACGGAAGCTCGTTCTAAAACTAAGCAATTCTTTGTTACTCTTTTTTTAATAGTCTTTTTTTTTGGAGGCGGGGCAGGGTACTGGGGATCAAATTGAGGACCGTGCGGTTTCCTGGCAGGCACTTGTGCTGCTGAGCTATATCCCCAGCCCAGTCTTACTGAGACAGGGTCTCGCCATGCAGTTCAGGCTGGCCTTGAGCTCACTTTGCAGCCCAGGCTGGTAACAATTCTCCTGCCTCGGCCTGCCGAGTGCTGGGATTACAGGTGTACGTCACCACGCCCGGCTACCTCTTACTCTTGAGAGGTGACAGTTTTTGGATTTAATAGAAGCCCAAATTTTAGCTTGAACAGTTTGGATCAGGCCAGCCAGGCGGGGTGTGAGAATTCCTTGTGGTTCTAAAAAGGCATCTCTCTCCCCAGTAACCCAGGCAGGGCCCCATAGCAGTATTTTTTGAAAGTGCATTTATATTGATGTCCCTTCCCTCGCCTCTCTCTGTCGTCAGGTATTTTCAGATACTTTTGTGAAAGGCCTAATGTGTGATAGAACAAATAGTAAAGAAAACTGGATAGGGCTGGAGATACAGCTCAGTGGCATAGCGCCTGCCTGGCAAACATGAGGTCCTGAGTTCTATTCCCAGCATACACATACACACAAAAACTGGATAGGACTGAAATGACCTAAAACTTTGTGAGACAATTTCCATCGGGGAACATTAGCGGGTAAGACTGTGTCAAACATTAGTT